ATGGGATGCACACGGCAAAGACGGGGGAGGGGTGAGGAGCCCTCGATTGCCAGGGTCCAGTTCACGGGTGCAGGTGGTAATGTCCTCCCCACGACCTTCCCCAACAGCTTACCCCGGAGGCTGCCCCAGACCTGGAAGCTGCCACTTCAGGGAGCCCTGGCTTCTCTGAGGGGGAGACGGTATTTCATATCCACACGTTGGGGGCTAAAGACTCACTCTTGAACATTCGCCTCCACTCCACCCCCTGGTGTGGCCACTGGAGGTGGGGTGACCCACCGCCTTCCCCGCCCTGCTTCTCCCCGTGTACCTGTCCCCCGCTCCCACCTCAGGAGAGTGCGGGCTCAAATGTGTCGGACTTGCTTCCTTCTGGAAGACTGTTCTCTTGCACCATCCCTGGGCAGCCTCCCCAGTAGTGGGCAACCTCTGCCACTCCCTCCGGTGAACTGTGGCAGTGCAAGTGCAGGGTCCCTCCCCTGGGGAGCTGCTCCATGGGATGGGGGGGGGGGGAGGTGGGGGGCGGGCGGTGCTCGGCAGGCTGAGTCTCTGGATCCAAAGGTACCGTTCAGATCTCATCCCTGGGGGGCCTTCCCCGTGCAGAGCAGAAGAGGCCATCTTTGCTCCTGTCCCCAGTCCCCAGACCCTGTCTGTGTCCCTTGCGATAGCACCAGGGTGGGTAGCGCAGTGTGGGCCAGGGCCCCATCTTTCTGTCCCCCTGGGGACTATCAGGCCTCACTGGGCTCCAGGCACTGAGGCAGCCGAGGAGCCTGCAGGCAGGAGGAGGGCTTGGCTCTCCGGCTTGCTGGCATCCCCCCCCTGGCCCCTACCCCTGCAGCGTCCCCCTTCTTGCTCTAGCCGCCCTGGTCTGCCTCTCCCCGTTGCCCCAGGCTCAGCCTTCCAGGGCGCCTCTGATTCGTCAGGTTTCTCTTTGAATGGGCCCGTGGGTTCCCTCCGAGAAGGTGGGTTGCAAGCAACTGAGCCTTAGAGGAATCTGGAAGTTGTTCTCGGGCCCATCTAAGGCAGAAAGTTGGAGCGCTGTGCGGGAACCGGCGGGGACCCGGCAGTCCGCGGCCTGCTGGAGCAGGAAGCTCGTGGATGGCCAGGCCTGGGGGACAACGAGCAAGCACTGGAGCAAGGGGGCTGCTCCCAGGGCACAGACGGCCCAAGAAGGAAGTAATGGCAAGTTCAAATCTTTCCGTCTCGGGCTCCAGGCATGGCCTGAATGCAGAAACGACCTGCACTGAGACAGTGGTTCTTCTGGTGCCCCTAAGGCCCTTTCAGGGGCCCATGAGGTCACCTGCCTTTTTCACTGAGCTGACGTCCAGGGGACTCGGTGGGCCAGGGGTTTGCCCACTCTGCCACACACCGGCTGAGACTGCGTCCTGACCTGGCCCTGACCGTCCAACACCGCACACCCCAAGTCACAACAAGGTCAGTTTTACTTAAGAACGAAGTCGTAAACGTCACTAATATTCTTAAATCTCTATCATTGAGTGTGGGTCTTTTTAATCTTTTATGTGGCAAAATGGGACGTCCGTTTTTGGACACATGAGGCGCTTCTGCTGAAGCTATAGAAGCCTTTTCCCTGGAACAACACCTACTGGACAGACTGTAGGTGTTTGGTCTCGGGCATTGGGCAGGGCATTTTCTTGTTTCTTTTCTTTTTATAAAGACTTTTTAAAGTTTATTTACATTTAGAGAGAGAGAGAGAATGGGAGGGGCAGAGAGAGAATCCCAAGCAGGCTCCAAGCCATCAGTACAGAGCCCGACACGGGGCTCGATCTCATGAACCGTGACATCATGACCTGAATTGGCAGGCATTTTCTTAAAAATGAACAAAATGAGCCTGTCGCTTCAAGAAAAACAATGGTAGCATTTGTTGCCAATAATAAAATTTAGCTTTCAAGCAAAAACAGGATTTGGGAAAACCTGTGCCCGCAGCTGCGAACATGACAGCTTCCTTAGACTCGGTTTTAGGATGAGATTGGTGGTGATACTAATGAATGGGATTTTTTCAGGTCGTACGATGTCATGCGTCAGCATTCGGAAGACCGGTGTAACTCAATGAACGGATATTGTCTAAATGACCAACATATGATGCCCTTGCATTGTGTGGGATGCACCAGTGGGTTCTCATGGGACAGAGGACAAAAAGTTCATTGGGATGGCTTCATATTCCAATTGCAATGAACCGCCGAGAAGTGACTGTGTAGTTT